CGCGTGAAAGATCATATTTTGAGCGCACAAAAGTGCATTTTGCACACGCGCGATCTGAGTTTGTGGAGAAAATGTTCGTTTCGCAAAGAAAAAAGTCTTTCGAGCGCACGGAAATCAATTTTGTATTTAAAATACGTTTTTGGATGTGTGCAGACCTTCTCTTTTGCGCGTGCAACGTTTCACTAGCTTGCTCACCTGATGCCCTCCCTCAGTGCTCGCTAAATGCCAACAGCTGGCGTGCTCAACACAACCCAGCGTTACAATGTGCCATAATTCCAGCCAATCAGATACTAGGCTGCTAAATTCTGATTGGCTGCCTTGACAACCAATCACAGCATTTCTTGCATTACCTCGACAGCAGAAGAGGAAAAATACAGTGCATGCATAATTATTATGCAAGTTGATATTCTGATCATATTTTTTTCCAAGCACATTTTACCAATTCCAAACGACATCAATCTTAATAACTACTATTAATCTTGTATTTAATAATTTATAATTGATATATAATTATTCACGAAGGCTGAAGGCTGTAGTGAAAAATGTCTTATATTCAGGTGTGCATAATTAAGCAGATTTTCTTTTAAAGATAAAATAAGCCAAAAAAGAGATTTAACTCAGACTGAAAGTCAAAAATTATTAAATGCCCATGAAAAATTTGTTGTTGTTCTATAGAACGTGGGGCTAACCGGAGCTAAGCTAGGCTACTAAACTTTTGCTAAGCTAATTGCTAGCAGGGTGCTAGCATCTAAACGTCAAGACTTTTAATTTGGTTAGTGGAAAGTGTGAACACTCGTGTCTCATACACTGCACGACCCTGAGTGTCTCTATGAGCAGAAGCACAGACAGAACAAACCAGCAGAAGGCAGTGCTGTCATATATCTTCTTTTATTCTGAACACAGATTAAGATCTTACACAGGCAAGGCCATATCGCCAAGTCCCTCCCCTGCACATCTCTCTCCATGACGGTGACAGCCACACTTTTTCATAACAGGGCAGTAAATGAACCAAACCCACCCGAACTAACTTGAACATAAACACACATAACATTACTAAAGCAAAAACCCAACCATCTTGCTTAATTAACACATAAATCAACTCTAAACAAATACCCATAATGCACCTGGCTGCTAGCGCTCACTGCCGGGTCATTACAATATTGTAGTATGTTGCTAGCACGATTTAACACACAGCTAGCATGTTTTAGCATGTTGTTAGCATGATTTAGCACATAAACATGATTTAGCACATTGCTAGCATATTTTAACATGATTCTAGCATGTTGATAATATGATTTATGACTGCAAGGAGCCCAGATGACGCCAACTTGAATCGACATGCACAGCTGCCAAAATGTATCTATATTACAGTCATCATGATCACACTCGTAATAATCGCTTTAATGAGCTTCTGCCTAAAATTAATTCATGTTAGCTAGCTGTATGATTCTATTATCTTGAACTGTTCATTTGTGAAATGAACATTACTTGGACACATTCACTTCTGCTGTGTAATGTAGACACGTGCATTTTCTGTAAAGCTGCTTTAAAACAATGTGTATTGTGAAAAGCGCTATGCAAATAAATTTGTATTGAATTCAGCACATTGCTAACATTTTTAGCACGTTGCTAGAATGCTAGCACATTGTCCTAGGATATTCGTTAAGCTTTGCTTTGCTAGTGATATACAGCTTAAAGGGGTTATATTATGCTTTTTCACCAAGTATGAGAGCCTGTTCTAGTACACCCCCAAAACAAAATCAAGATGTTGTAAAAGAGCATAATAGGACCCCTTTTAATACACAGTCATATGCTGAATTCCATTTACCTCGGAAGTCAGATGTCGGAGTTGGGAATGACATCACACTGACGTGGACCGTGTTCCAGCAGAGAAGTCAGAAATCCAAGATGGACATGTCCATTGTTAGCAATACCAGTCGATTAAAAAAATAGAGGTTAGATAGTACTGTGTGCAGCACTGAGTTTATGAAGACACAGACAAATATAAGTACTAATAAACAATATATTACTACATTTTCCCTTCTGTTAATGCACCGAGCAGCCATATTGGATTCTGAAGATGGCGTTGTTGTGATTCGCCTGAGATTCTGAGTCACAACTCTGACTTGGGAGGGCGTTCCAGTTAAAATGGAGTGCACCATTATTGTACAAACATGTTAACCCCCTCAATGAAAGCTTATGGGATTTTTTTATGTAGTTTAGATCGTCTGGTTTACAAGAAGTCAGATCAATTAGAAAAGATTGCAACTCAAGTCAGACCAGTCTGAAGGCCTGACCCAAGTTTGGTGGTAAGTTGAAAACTCTATGAAGGAATACTGACTAAATTTAGCCTAAGCAAAAA